GCACCTCAGAAATATTTGTTCAGAGATTCAGAAGCAATGCATTTTCTTGATTCATTAGTTTGCAATAGTCCTATGACAAGTTAGCACCTCCTAGTTCATCAGTAAGTTTACTGCACATACAGAAAACAGGTTGAGATTATTAGCTGTTGAATTTCAGAAAATTCTAGAGAAGTCCAGCCTCTTCACTACAATCACTGACACTGCAGGCATAAAGAGATTACAATAGGGTCAGAATTCCTTAACTACCTCTTTGAAAAGCTCCATAGTGTGGCCAACCCTCTGTCTGATACCTCCCTGCTCTAATGCAGAAACTCTTCCAACAGTGAGGAAGTGGCCCTGTCCGTGGTGCTTGGTCACAACGTCACACCACCAGGAAGGCCTCTCTGTTTGCAACAGCTCTGGAGCACCTGGCTGCAAAACACCAAGATGAAAAGGGCTAGAAACCAAACTGCAAACCAAAGAGAGAGCAATTCAACAAAAAAAAAGCTGAAACCAAGGACTCTCAGTGTTGCCAGCAAAGACATATTAAGATAACAGGGCTTTCACCTGAGCCTTCAAAGTCATCTTCAGCATGTGTATATACATATATATATATGTAAAAAACTAGTCTTGTTGAAAAGGTTAAGGAGGAAAGAGTACACCCAGTGAGTTAAAGCAGACCTCTTCCAAAGCAATGTTTAATACTTGGTATCATTCTTTGATATAGTCTACTACACAGGACCTTCAGTGACAAAGATCCTTTTTCCTACAAAGAATCTTTTTCCAATGTGCAACGCTACACCAGGCAGCACTGCACACGTGTCCAATGCTGCCCAGTGACGGTGCATTGCATACACGTAAAGGTTGTAGCCAGGGGAGTTACCCTGATCTAGCAGCCCTGCTTCAGGCTGAATGGCTTCCGAAAGAAGCAAACACCTTGCTTACCTAGGTTACACAAAGCCATGATGCCATCTGTTTGCATATTTGCCCTATCGCATACAGAAAGCACGTTCACAAGCCAGAGGCTTCCTGTCCCCCCTTCAATGGGGCAATTTTGATAATTTCCTTTTAGGCCTGAACATTAATACATTTTATCTGCCATGTGAATTATTACTACCCTTATACAATTTGAAAAGCAAATTACACATGGTAATGCCACACACTAGGAATGATTTTGGAACTATCACAAAGCTTGCCAGTTTCTCTGAACTACACAAACAACTAAATTAAACACATGTGCTACTCAAAAAATCACAAGAAAGTCCAAAATGTGATGGAAGAACTAATGCCTACTGGAAGGAAATTACACCTGTCTAGTTGCATCTCATTTAGTTACAGCCAAGACACGTACACCACATTCTGTTGCTGAGTCCTCTACAGGCACAGCAGAGTAGAAGACTTCGTCTCTTTCAGAGGTTCTGCCTCTAAAAGCAACTTTAATTTTGTGATTAAACACCAGTGGCTTCTCATATTTGAACTCATCTGAGAAGTGAGTAGCTATATTCAGGAAGTCTGACTCACACCTTCCCAAAGTGTCTTTTATACCCAAAGACATATAACTGGCTAATGCAAAACTTTACTTGTGTCTTCCTTTTGTGTGTAAAGTCCCTACATTACAAGCTGACAGCAGAAGCCATAGAAACTACTAGGCAAATATTACTTGAAATCCTACCTGCACTTAGCATCACTATCTTTTTATGTCACAATACAATCTTTTTATGCAAAGGTTAACTGCTGATGACCTAAATTTCTCGGAGAGGTAGAAAGGCAACAAGCAGGTGAGCATTATTTGAAGAGACCAGAGATATTTTGCAGCCAACATTTCATTCACATCATTTGCAGAGAATTATTTCCATATCAAGAGAAAGTGAAGTGCAATAACTTAAATCACATACTGAATTTAAGTTATTAAATCTGGATGGTGTCTGGATACTGTTCTAAAAATGCCTCTGTAGACTATCTTGTCCATGCAGGCTGTTTATACCATTATGTGAGAGACCTCAGACTGGAAATGAGAAAACATTTGTTCTCCAAGCTTGACAGCTGTGATAAAAATGCACTTAGTCAAAGGAGAAGGCTTACTGCATGCATTTTAACCCTAGTTCTTCCAGCTGAGCAAGGGAATAATACTACCAGATTATTATGGCTGTTCTCATCTATACGATGGGGTACAAATGACTTGTTTCTCAAAGAGGACTAAAATTTTTACTCAGAAAGTAATTCCATCTTAGGCTCCAAAAAAGACACGCCTACATACTAGACCACAAACTAAAGCTAATCTTATATTAGCGATGAAACCTGACCTAACAGCACATTGCATTGTTTTGATAATTAGACCATCAGGAATAACACATATGGAAGCTTCACAGGACTTTCATTAGAAACTATGAACTGGGCAACATCCATGTAAAAATAAAAAATGATTCAGCTGGATTTTCCAGTCAGTTAATCAGTCCTGAAGCCAATGGAATCACTGTATAATTGAGCAGATTTCTTTAAAGAGCTCATAACTGTTTACACTGCTTTCATACTATGTGTCAGAAAAGCTGAAGAAAAGAGAAAGTTTCAGGACTTAAGAAAAATTGTAGAAACATATTCTGAGTATCAAATAGTTTAGGAAATGTGAAAATTGATTGCAAAATTTAACATCACAGTGACAATAAAGTCACTAGTAATTATCTTTACCACTTCAAAGTATTATAAGTCATTAGTAAGCAGCTTGACCTTTTTTTCGTCTCAGCTTTGAAGAAAGCATATGAGAACGTGGTATGCCTAAGAATTACTGCTCTCATGCAACATATTACTCATATACTATAAATGATAGTAGTAACTTTTTTCATTTAGAAGTGTCTTTTTTAACTAAATACATTATGCATAGAAACCTGTGTTTTTCAAGAAAAAAAAAAGCTGAACATTGCCTGCAAAACTGCAGGAGACCAATATGCTTATTATAAATTTTACTGTTTCTATAATCTTTAATAATGCATATACTCTGAAAAATGGAAGTTTACCACAGTATAAGACACTTAACTGGTTGCAGTAGTTATACATACTAAACATTACATGCACTAATTATTATTATAAAAGGATAATCCGGAAGACTACTGGAAGAGTAGCCTACAAGCACACAAACTGATCATTAAGGACAACGGTGACATCTAGTGGACACTCGGAAAACAGACCCGTAACCCAGCACAAGGAAAGGATCCAGCTGCTGTTACACGATGTGCAACTCCCAGATTGCAACAATACAATTAAGATGACAAACAAAAACCTCCAGAATTTGCAGCTGATGAAAGCCAAAGTAATGTGATTATTCACTGCTTTCAAGAGCATATTTAAGTGTAAAAGGAAAAAAAAAAAGAAAGACCGTTCAAGATTTAGCATAAAAGTATAGGTCAAAACTATAGAGAACATCAGAAATCATTGAAAGGATATACATAGTTACACAGTGCTAGCACAAGAGACGTATAAATGCTTCCTAAACTTCCTATTTATTCCCACTGCATTTACAACCTTCTGCTTATAAGTTGCTCCTGTCAGGACTTCAAACACTGAAAACCAAAGTGAAAATACAAATCCCAAGAGTAAAAATTCACACCACTATTTAGCACCTCCCTCGTCATTCCAATCCTCTCATTACAATAACGCCTTCCATTTAAGTGAAGCAAATTAAACTTTCCCAATATATCAGCCAGTACCAGCTGCACTCCAGAGAAGAGAAATCTGAAACATGAGGCTACTGTAGCCAAAATAAGCAAAGATACCTGGGTATTTTCATGGGTAACCTGATTAGTTTACAAGGTAGACTTCTACAAAGACCATGGATTATCTGAAATCTGTTTTTACTATTTACCAAAAGGCTAGCAAAACTAAGTAGTTAAACTCTAATCTCATCTCAATTGTTCTATCAAAGGAACTTTTCCTGACTAGAAGTGTCACCATGAAAAAAAATACTAGGTCTGCCTATTACACTTTTTTATAAATAGGTTAATAGAACACTACAAATCTATTTCCCATTCAAAGTTATATGTATCAAACGTCTTATCTACATAAATGGAAATTACATTGTATTGTTAAAAGCAAAAATACTGCATTTCTTTCCAAAATTTCTGTCTTCAGTATAAAAAAAAAGGCATTACAAAAATATTAGAAACTATACTCAAAAGTAAAACAGCATTTATGAACACATTTGATTGCAGATTTCATTAGACTTTAAATTGGTATCTTGCTTGCATCATATATGATTATGCAAAGTTAGTGTGGCAGTTCTACTAGTTCTCACCATCAGTAGGGGCTAGAGTCAGCTATTAGCAAATATGTAACAGATTCTCACATGAAGATTCTCTAACCACCAGAATACGAAGAAACCCTCATATAATTGATGGTCAGGCCTTGTGTCCCAGCTTCTTTTTGCCTGCGTCTCAAAAGTGAGCTTTGAGTCAGATGCTACTTGTTAATAGGAGTACATGCAGCCTCCCAAAATTTAAATCCACACTCCAAAGATACATCATTTACAATACAAATGTACCATACACATCCATAACTAAAGCCTGTAGGTTTAAATTTTGATTCCTAGTGAGACTCAAGAGCTGAACAACCCATTCATAACTTTGATTCATGCCTTTTTTAATTCTAAAAAGGCAAGTATTTAAAAGTAAGTCTCCCTTTTGATGTATGCAATGCATAGGGTTTGCAGATACTTAAAGTGAGATCAAAGTTTAACCAATTCTAAACATCCCTGTTCTGGAAAATCACACTCTTCATTACAGGATCTATATATCAAGCCTGTTATAACCATATTGGTAATGGAGTCTGATAAAAAAGAGAAACCAGTCCAGTAAGTTTACAAGGTAAAAAGCCCCTTATTAAAAAAACTAAAAGCAAACATCAAAATAAACCCAGGCATTTTCACCCTCCAAGCACAATGTTGTATTTTACCTCCCAAACCAAGTTTACTACATCAGATGTCCTAATATGAGGCTTATTTTAAGACAGAAAGCAAAGCATCATTGACCTACCCGGATTTCCTGGAGATTATGAAAATTATTTCCTACTCTGACAGAGATTTTGCTTGGAGTATAACTTTCATCAGATTTGTAGTCTGCATAAATACATAAAGTCTTCACTGTTGTTTTTCTTCTGCAGGAAGCAACAGAAGCTATGTAAGCATCATTACAAAAAATGTCAAGATGAGTTTGTAGCTAGTTTGTAGTAACTAAGGACTTCTAAAACTTAATACAAGTGTGTCTACTGATTTATAAGAACTCCGCTGTTAAAGCAACTAGGTGTTTATCTACATTATTATGCACAGACTGGATTCTCCCTGTTCTCTTTGTCTGCATTCAGAAATGTCGGTATACCAAGAAATACAACAAAAGACCAAGATGCCAAATAAGCACTTGTATGCAACAATGCATAAATTTAGCTTATCAAATATGGACTCTATTACTATATTAAAGAGTTCTCCAGAAAGCAAATAAAAAGGTGACAAATATCTAACATCATCTTCAGAGTTTGGTTAAAGAAAGACTGAAATCATCTTACAAAGAAAAGGACAGGAAAACAGTAAGTTCTTAAGTAATATTACACTATTTAAACCCAGTAATCTACTCTTCAAACTACACTCAAAGACAGAAAGCCAGGACAAAAGTGTCACCTTAGATAAGTAAAAGTGAAGCCATTACAAATGACACACTATTAAACATCCCTTTTTGTTGCTTATTTAGGCATTTAGTAACCATCATGTTTGACAATCTAATTTTTATAAATGCTATCCATCTGGTTTCTTTAGCAGTTGGGAAACAGGATTAATTTAGGAGTCCTTGCACATCCAGAATTTCTATCTTGGTGAACAGTAATCAATACAGAATTATACACCCTAACCCATATAGAGTAATTTTCAATACCTAAATTGGATGTTCACCAAATGAGGCTGTGATCCATCTGACTGCCAGTAAGTTTCTAGATTATCATCTCGTAACTGATCCACTCCAAATCCTAAGAAAAAGAAAATTCAATAGTCTCCAATATCCCATTTCCACGATGCAGACATCACAGACATAATCTTTATTCAGCTGTTACAAACTAAAGTATGTATTCCAAGTTGTAGCATATAAGGAACTATTTCTAGACATGAAAGTTGTGCCTATAATTTCTGACAGAAAACAGGGGAACCTGTCAATCCAAGCTCAGTACTTGAGTGTCTTTACATTTTTAATCTCCTATTGAAGTTTGTGGGGGTTAAAACTATTCAGCACATCCTGGAATTTCAAATGGTTAAGTAGTAATTCAAACTAATTGCAAGAACAACATCTAATAGTTAGGCTTTTCCACCTATTCTATAATCTAACTGCTGAACTAAAGGAGACTCATAGCAGAGACCATCTATCTATTACAAAATTTTGGCCAAATATAACATTTTCTTTTCAAATGGTCTCCTGAAATATTTTGACTTTTCAAGTTAGCAGCTAGAACAAACAACGGATGCCAAACACAGTATTTCTGAAAGTTAATACCATCACATTTAAATGAGTGAGTCCAAATCCGTATTTTTCCGTTCCCTCATTATCTGTCCTTTTACTAATCACATCCTTTTATTGACTGCCCATACTCACTGCAGTTTTAATTCAGCAGTTGGAAGTTTAATCTGCAATAAAAAAAATATTTTCACTCTGTAGTGGCTAACCATATGATGTTTTCTCTAAGTAAGATACCAGCATATCAGACTAGACATTCAGCCTGAGCACAATATTGTGACATAAGGGCCACCACTGACTCCAGGCTGTAGAAAGACACCAGATCAATTCCCAGCAGATACTTCTAAAACAGCAACTCAACTATCTCAAATCAAAACAATACAGATTTTCAGATATTTTGAGCAGTCACAAACTATCATTAACTGTATCTCAGGAAAATTTGCAACAGTTTGATTTCACTTGAAGGATTTTAGGGTGCTACACTATAATGGATGAGTCAACACAGTCTGGACAGAACATTTAGGTTGCCCAGCTGTATGGTTTTTCTAAGTCAAAAATACAAGATACCCAGGCAAAATGTCAACACACAGGAACAATTACACACTGCTGGTTTTCTGCTCACATGGTTTAGTTTGTTCACTTATGTGAGTAAAAAAAGAAAAATCCCACAAAACAATTTAGTATAACGCTGGTTAAAGATCTCTTTTGTTAATATGCTATTTCGTCATCATAAGATTTCTGAGAAAGTTTAAACTTCAATATTGCGTCAAACATAGACTAGGTCAAAATTATTTGTAGTGACTACCCATACAGTTATACAACAGCAGTTTTACTGCTACACTGCCTGTATGTGTTTTATCAAAACATAAACCTCTACGTATTCTAAGAAAAATGTACATTCAGCTTTTTACACCATTTGTTGTGATTTTACCTGGCTTACAGGATGAGAGAGACCAAACTGCTTGTGAGCCTATTTCTCTAACAGTACCAGTCCTCTCTAACTGCTTTGGATCAGCACCAGGTGGCGTCTTGTTTGGGGTAGTCATTTCTAGTAGAGAGAGAAAAAAAGGTTGATACATTTTTAGCATGATAAGAAAATTAAACAGTTGTTTGCTTACACAGACACTTTAACTCTTCAGCCTTGCACTTCTATAACAGTCTATGGAATATGTAGCTTATACACATATATGGAAACATTTTTGGATGTCTGTAAAACCTTTATATATTTATAAAAATAATATATTTTATATATAATCTTTAAGTAAGAGGTTCCACATACATGTAAATCATGTCCTTCAAAATTCAATACATAACTGAAAATTCATAGAACATATACTACTTGTTTCACTCTTAACTCACACATACAGAGTTAGTCAGAATTTCAGGATTTGGTTTTAAGAAATTAAAACAGACCCTTTTGATTTCAAGGCTGGCAAAGCTTCATTTTCACTCCACATACAAGTAAGAGTTTTCTTAATCTGCAAGTTCAGAAGCTTATTCAGAAGCTAGAGCAAGCTTGCCCTCCTGGAGATCTCCTTAAAAAATAGGAAATGAGAGCTTAAACAAATCTCCTGGGTTCAAATTCTGTAAGGATTTATTATTGCCATATTTATCCATGGTGCGTTTCCTTAACTTCACAACTTCACCTGGAATCATTAACCTGAGACTTGCACTGCTCAAGTAATCACATTCAGTCTCAACACCTAGACTACTGCCATACAGTACTGCTATACAACATAATCATGTTGGGTTTTATATAGTACAGAACACCTTATTACTTCCTAGAAAGTAGCTTAAAAACTTCTTTCAAGAAAAAAAATACATTAGAGTTTAAAATTAAACAAAGCGCTCAAGAGTCAGGGAACTGGATATTATTTTAATCCTTTGTTTACATGCATGACATCATACTATGCTCTGCTAATCCCACCAGAAGTCTCCAGTACTTCACCTAGATAGCAAATGAGGGGCAGGAATCCACAGGGTCCAGACCTCACCCACAACAAAAGTGATACAAGGCAGAGACAAGGTTTTGGATGTAAGAATAACTCTGCAGCTAAAACTTTTTTGTTGTATGCAGGAAATCCAAATTCTGTAGTGTATATCACTGTCCATACCAAACACTTTCTATTGGCTCACCATTCTCTCAGAAGAATGGGTTAATACTACACAGCTAATCCTACAGATATCACATATATATTCAAATAATTTACATATATACTAATCCTAATGCCCTCCAATTAAAAAAAAAAAAAAAGGTAACACCATGCAAGTTTCTTACTGTCTTAAATTGAACTTGTTTCCTTCAATCTAGCAGGCAAAGCCACTCAAGATCCAAATTTCAACTCCAAACCACCACTTGCAAATAAGTCAGCCACAAAGCGTGTGTCAGTGATGTGGCAGACTGAAAATCTTGAATTTAGTTTGAACTAATGAGTTGAAGTAATCAAGTCTTGGAGTCTTGGGTGACATGGTTTAGTGCAAGGTGCCCTGCCCATGGCAGGGAGGATGGAACTAGATGATCTTAAGGTCCGTTCCAATCCTAACTATTCTATGAAGTCCATTTTTCACAACAGAACTTCTGTTTAACCATAGTACATTCTGGATAGTTTTCTGAAGCTTCCTAAAACTCTAAGAAACAGAAAGCAGGCAGAATTACTAAGGAAAAATACGACAAGAGACCAGCTCACTCAAATAATACTTCTGAGCATTTTACTAGCAAAAATACAAGTACTTCATTTTGGACAAGACAAATACATAATATTAAAAATAATTTAAGTCACCAAATAAAATAAAACCACAAAGCAAAACATTTTCTCAGCCCAAGATGATAAAAGAATGAGATTTATTTTTCTTTATTATTTTCTTTTCAAGATGCTCAAAACCAAGTAATCTGTCTAGAAGGCCTTCACCTTTACATGTGCTGAAAAATGGAATGACACACTGCATCTATAGAAGCATTGGCTGGAAACATCTCCAAATTCCCAATTCAATTATTCCAAAAGACCATTAACAGGCTACTGTTTCCTTATTAACAACATTTAATATATTGATGTCTTAATGACATGACTAATGTCACATTTTTGCCACTTTCCACCATGGGGCATGTACACCCTCTGATCAAGACAAGGCAGCAGCTGAGCTTTTCCCCCACCTTAAACTCTTCATCCCTCAGCATCTTCCTTAGAGAAGTTTGTTCCTTTTGAGAGAACATCCCCATGAAGTAGCAGCCATTAAATGTTTTAGCAAACATACAGTTTATAAACAGAGCGAACTGGAATTAAATGGTTCAATAATCTAACTTTCACACTAAAAACAGGTTATTCTCACTATACCAGTAGAAGACACTTGAGACTCATACCTGAAATCAAACCCTTCACTAAACACACACATGCTCCTCCACAACATACTGCAAAGAAGGATACATCATGATTCTTTCCTACTAAAGCTCCATAAAAATACCAGTTCAAGGGAACTGCTGAAGATTCCAAAGCAGTTTTCTCCAATTAAAATTTCTTACTCCACCATGTTAGCACACACAGAACTTTTAAATGCACATGTGCAAGGACCTTTGAGATTGTCTTCAACAGACACCTGTCCAACCATTTTACTTCAACAAAAGAAACTGCACAACCTTTGTGGACAGCCAGCTTCAGTGCTTCCTCAGTCTAAATGCCAAATGTTTTTCTTTACCATCCAACCCAAGTAATACCTTCTAAAAACCAAGCACGATTTCTTCTTCTTCTCTACATGGAGCCTGAAGGCTATATAATCACTAGCTTTTACACAGTGACCCTTTTGTAGATGTGAGGGACTTCATCAAATTTGCTCCTAGCTTCTAGTGTGCCTATGCCTCAAGTCTCCCTCACAAACCGAGTGCTGTTAACTCCTGTGGAGTCTAGAGATCTACATACTACGGTTAACAAAAATTAGCCATACTAAGGCTCAACAGCAGAGTAATCACTTTCTCTTCGTATTTAATCTCATCTGCTAACATGCCAAAATAACATATGTCTGATTGCAAGGACATCATATTGTTGAATATTTCATTTACTATACGTTACAGTGCTCAAATGCTTTTTCAGGATACTAGTTGCTGTTCAGTACTACCCTTTCCACTAATTATGTCTTTTATTTCTCCTTCCTGTGTTCTCTTCCTCCCCCAGTTCTTGTTAACTGAGTTTAATTACACTGATTTCAAATCTGCTACCAATATTCTCAATCAGTTTGAATTCTGACCCTGAGCTGTACAGTGCTCTCAATCATTCCAACTTGCTAGCGTATCTCTTCCATGCTAACCATTACAGAAAAAAAAAAAAGAATGCACATCCATAACAGAACTCGACAGGAGGACACTTCCTGGCATCCTTGTTTAAAGTGAATTATTTACAAGTCAGCTTCAAAAAGCAATTTTTCAACCAACCGTACAAAATCTCACAAAAATTGTTTTAGACCCCATTTCAGTAGTCTGTTTTTAACATAAGCCCAGACAATGGCAGAAACCCTGCAAAAATCAAGACAAAACCCTTGTATTCCTTCCTCATTAACTGCATTGGCTACTGGGAAAAAAAGGTTGATCCAGACTGCTCTTAACAAATCAAACTAGCTGATTTGCTGTTTGCAAATCAGTTTTCATTGTTTTTTACTTACTGACAAGTTCTCCCCCTAAACCACCTCCACAGAATCTTTCAGGGGATCAAAGCTTAGCAAGCTTTACCCTTTTTTTTTTTTTTTAATTATTATTCTGATTGCATTCCCATCATGATAATTTCATTCTGTTTTAGCAAGTATCTGTCTACAACTTCTCCATCAAACCCGAACAAAGGCTACACTGCAGCTACTACTCCAGCGTTTTTGCAACATCCATGATTTAAGACTGTTTTTCTTGTTCTTCTTTTGAATGGAAGAGAATTTCATACCTTAGATTTCCCCAAGATTGTCATACTTGTGCTACTCATTTTACCTCGGAAGTTCTTTCCCCTGCTCTCATTTCCTTTGAATGGACCTTTGTTGGTGTAAGACCTTTAAAGATCTCAAAATAAATGCAGAAACTACTATCTTACTATGCTTTCTATTTTTACATTCAGATTGAAGATTAAACAGTTACGTTGAACATGCAAATTACTACCATTTAATTAATATTTAATAATGGCTGCAAGCATTCAGCAACAATGTATTTCAGTAACTAGCTCACCTGTACATTGGATCTCCCAGACAATTCTCTCGATACAGTTTCAAACACCTATTACTCTACTCTGCCTTCAGCATACTGCTTTAAGCCTATTAATAAAAAATACTTGTCTTCCATCATCACAAAATATATTTAAAAATAAGGTTATTAAACTGCACAAGCAATTTTTATACCTATATTCATAATCAATTGAAATTAAAAATGTGGCTTTGCACAAGCTCATACTTCCAAAGATATACAGCTGGTCCTTGAAGGATACAAGCACTTCTTTGCAAGTGCCTCTATCAAGTTTTTAAAACTAGACAACGAACGCAGGGTGAAGTCCGTTTGACAACTCAAGCTGCTTTCACTCAGCCCTCCACTCACGACTTCTTCGCAGGACTCTGAATTCCGATTTTAGGCATAATTACTTTTACAACGCTGCATTATGGCCCTATAGAACACTTCAATATCGGAAATAACCGAGCAACCCTACGCACGAAACACATCGGCTGTGCTCAGCCAACAGATCACGCTCCCCCTCCCAGCTGGGGACTCAAACGCACAACCATTCGCTGAGGGAGGAACCCGGCGGCGGCACCAGTTAAGCAGCCCCAGCCCCATACCGGCATTGGAAGGCGCTCCGAGGCTGGGCGAAGGCACCGCACCAGCCTTCTGCCCAGGCACAGCTCCCCCGGCTGCCGTGACACCGGGGGGCGAGACACGGGACAAACCACCCCCTCAGCCCGCCGCGTCGGGACGGAGCAGCATGCCCACCTGATCCTCACAGCCGCTGCAACGGGCGAAGAGGCGGCGAGGGGGCAGCGGATCCGCCACCGCCACGCGTATCACCGCACTGGGATCCACCACCTCTGCCGCCG